GATTGGCCTCATGGCTTTGATTGTTAGAAGTCAAAGCAGTAGCAGTCATTTCTGTTTAATACTGGCATGTTTAAATAATATTGTACTTTGTGATTCCATCAACTATCTGACACTTTAAAAATGTCCTCATCTATTAAATCTAAAGACATTTAAATGTAATTTTAAAACTGATTGTTACATTTATTTTCCTTAGCCTCCACAGAAGACAATGAAGAAGAAAAACGTAAAAAAAGTGAGTAACAAGATCATCCTAGAGCTATATCCTGGCTGTTCAATGATATTTCGGTTAATTATTGAATAATAAACCACTTAATAATTAATACCTAACCCTTAACCCTACCCTACCACATCCAAACACGCTCTCCAACTGGTGGCAATATTGAATTATTCCTCTTGAAACAACCTGGGATAATTTATCCAAGCCATTACAAACAACCAGGCTCTCTGTAATGTTTTTTTATTTGAGGATGTATCTATACATCCTCAGTTGTTGTGTGACATACCATAGGACATAATTATATATACGTCCTTGGTAGGGAAAAGATTAAACTCCCAGAAGTGGTTAACATGAAACTTTTCCCTAGAATATCCATATGTTACCCAGCAAGTGAGTCATGAGAATACTTGAACTTATCAAGTAGAAGTTGTCATCTTGTTCTAACACCAAACTCTGGTAAATTATTTACAAGGAAGTGTGTGGCAACTAGAGAGGAAAATTAACAATCAGATCTTGGGACGCTGGGGAACCAACATAATTACCAGCTTCCAGTTGGCTTGTTTGCTCAATTGGTAAAGCACTGCACCAGTATCGCAGAGGTCATGGGTTCAAATCCTGTATGGGCCTGGATTTTCTTTCAGGCCTTATTTCTACTACTGCATAAGTAGGGTTTATTACTGGGAGGATCGCTTTGATACATTTTATAAAAATGCAGTACACTTATATATATGATTTTTATATAATATATGAATATTGAATATTATTCAAAATTCACTGATTCATATCTTGGGAGGTAAAGGGTGAAGAGACATGAAAAGGTCTTTAAAACAACTTCTTGAGTGTTGAACAAGGAAAAAATTTGGAAAGCTGCTATCATGACCTTGGGATTCCACACATGCTTGAGACAACATGGAAAAAGGTCTTTCTGTGAAAGTCCAAGTTTGGATTTGATTTTCTTCCAACAACAGGTAGCTTATGATATTTTAAAAAACTATGATATTATTCATCATGTAAAGCTGATTTTTTTAATAGGTCAGGTCACTTTTGAAGGGGTAGTTGTACAGAAAGCTGACTGTCGACCAATTCAGCCCAGTGCTGACTACCTGAGTTTGAAAAAGTGAGCACCTTTCCCTCATGTATATTAAATGTATGTGGTTAAACATTTTAAGTTCATTGTTGTGGTCCATAACTTCATGAAAAATTTCACATGTAAATCCTCCAAATCTTAGAAGTTGAACTGCCGAACATCCCTTAGAGCCTCTTCCAAAGAGAAAATGCTTCAAGCTAAGAATTCACAACACACGCTTTTCCTTGGCACACACTAGATTCGCTTGAAATAAAGTGCAAAAATTCTCTCACAAACTCTCATAGTATTGCTTAAAAGAACAGTTTTTAATTGACTGTGCTAAAAAGAATTTAGAAAATGGATTGGATGGTGTTTACCTCACTTGCTTTCTGATATGCCTAGAAGGCTTCCATAAGCTTAAATCATCCAATCTGACACGATACTGAAAACTATTCATGGCATAGTCAGTTGCATTCCTCCTTACCCAAGGTTTACAATGAGTTGTTATTTGCTCTTCATATGTTTCCCTTTTTTCTGATTGGCTACTGTTACAGTAATAACTAAACAGTTTTTATAATACTCAATTGCTGAGAACTATTACCTTGAGAAAAGGGTTACTTATATGCTGTTATATGCACATAGTCATTATGTGTCATGGTTATGTTGCCACATTGTTGTACTATTTTTTGCTGTTTTACTAGGAGGGCAATTCTTAATAAAAGTAAATCAGGACGGCAAGCCATAACGGTTGACCGTGTTGTTAAATATCGTCCAGTGTCCGACCACAAAGCTAATGTAAGTACTCTGTGATTTTTTTCAAAATGTTTTTAATCATAATTCTATCCAAACACTTAGCAATACATACTGTATCAGAATGTAAGAGTAGGGTTTTATCTCAAGGTTTCCTTGCAACCTGGAAGTAAGTCTTGCATCAGTTAGTATATATCCAAAAGTGTTTTCCTCTTATCACCTTTCTTAGCTATTTTTTCATCTGTGTAATTTTCTCAGACTCAATTCTTTTGGAAAAACTAGTCAGTGTTCTCTGGTCATTGTACTCAAAGTTGCAATGTTGGCTTTCCTCACAGATTGAACATGAGAAGAAAAAGAAAGAAGATGGAAAGAGAGCTCGGGAAGATGAAGATGTCGTCAAAGCATTACTCTTCAGTGCGTTTGAAAGACATCAGTATTATAACCTAAAAGACCTCATAACCATCACAAAACAACCCGTGGTGAGTAACACCAACTGTCATAATCCCTTTCATTCCAGTGAGTGACCAAAACAAATTTTCTCCTGACAATATGAATTCACACATTTTCAAGTAAAAGTCTTAAAGCCAAAATGGTGTCCATAATGTTCGCTTAGTAAAGTATATTCTATATACAAGGCTAAAAGATTAGGAAAAAATTAAAATGTTTGAACCAAACGTTTTTGGCTGTTTGCCATTATCAGGGTTAAAAATAATGACTGTCTGCACAGATATAAATTATATGTACGTTTGGTCCAAACATTTTAATTTTTTCCTAATCTTTTCGCCTTGTATACACCGAATCGAAATATGGCGTCCAATTTGAATTGCCATTGTTCTGGACTTACTAGCCTCTCACACATGTGATAATCCTTTTGTGTTTCCACATGAAGACGAGGCTAGTAAGTCAAAAACAATGGTAATTCAAATTGGACGCCATATTTTGATTCGGTGAATATGATAGAATATTCTTAAAGCCAAAATTATGAGAAATGCATGGAGAACAGTGT